ATCAATGATGAGAGAGTCATTGATCAAGCCTGCAACTGGGCATGTGCCCTGACCCGGAATCGAACCCTGATTGCCTGGATCCTAGGTCGACGCTCAACCCCTGAGCCACGCCCAGCTGGGCTCTCCTATGTTTCTTAATCTGCTGTACTCTTTTTTTTTCTTTATAGCATTCATTACCTTCTGACCTAATATACAGTAATTTTTGTATTTATTATGTTCACTGATATTGTTTGTCTCCCTAGAATATAACCTCCACAAAGCAAAGGATCTATCCTGTGTTAGTGATACACCCCAGGCTCCTACAAGAACACCAGACTGGCCTAGTAAGTGAGTCACAAATTAGAGTGCAACATAAGCTTTGCTGATTACCTATGGCAGAGGGAAGAAGTGATTACCCCTCCCATTCCTCAGGAAGCAACTTGAAATATCCCATTAGATATTTCTGTTTTCCAAAGGGTCTTCTCTGTACCATGCTCCTCAGGGAGGCTCAACCAACTGTCTTATTCATGTTTCCCTCCTGACACTGCCCAGCACACTGGCTCCCTTCTCTCTCTCCCCTTGGGGATCCTCATTCTTTTCATACACAGAACTTCCCGATACCCCTGTGCATACCTACCCCACACATATTAATGTTTAACAAACTGAAGAGTCTTCCAGTCAATATGACTTAGAAGGCAGGGTAAAGACCAAGTTTGCTTCCTTGTGCATAACTTTAGGTTTTTGCTCTGCTCTGTCGCATCTTATCCTTCATCCCAGTGATTTTATCAACCTATTAGGTCCAAAGATACAGATCTCTCCTCAAGAGGAATTCTTCTATTAGCTTCTGGAAGATTACACTCATTTTTCTTCTTCTAGTCAAATGGCCTTGTAAAGGTAAGAGCGATACGGTTGGCAGGCACTGAATTTCAAGCATCATGTTCAATGAAGGACTGAAGAGTTCTTAGTGTACAGGCTTAGGTGGTGCTGCTCTGTGCCAGGTCGGCTTCCTCTTTAGGGGTTGAGCTGAACTTGAGCTTCACACTTTAACCAAGGGCTCTAAGACAGGGTGAATGAAGACCCTATACAGTCAGAAACTGGTGAAATTATTCTAAAAGTTAACAACCAGAGTAATGAGAACATATTTACCAATATAAATGCCGCCTATAAGACACAGGCCGAGAGAGACGAGAGGGTTGGAAGCAGACAATCCAAAGGTCATTTCAGGCTATGGATGTTATTTCAGCAGTCATCAGAGACAAAAATACTGAAGAGAGCTGGTCGTCCTCATGGGCATTTATTCTTCAGCATCCATGGGATTTTGATGTCCAGGTGATTCGTGATTGATCTCATCATCTGGACAGATAAAGTAATGTCTTAGGTGGTGCAATTATCATTGCATTAATGTTAATTAATTATCACATGTGTAAATGGAGTTAACCTTGGTGATGACTTGTCTTTAGTTGGTAAAAGTATCTTTATCAGGTGATGGTCAGTAGAGTATATGCTCCATGAAAGTGGGGAATTATTTTGTTTGCTTTACTGCTGTACTTCTAGGAGTTAGGATAACAACTAGCACATGGTGGATAGTATTTCTTTAATTAATGAATGAATCTTCCAATGATCAACCGGCCACTTATTTAAAGCCCAATGTATACCTCTTAGAATTATAGGTGATGTTAGTGGAAATGGTCTCAAGATTATATAGCATGGCTTTGCCCCAGGGAATCTCTTTGTCATCTGAAGGGCTAAGCCCAAATAAAGGCTGATGGCAGATGATTGTTATAAAGCAGTAAAATTTATGGTTGAAAATCTCTACAGAAACTTGTAAAGAGCCCTCTCAGGATATTCTCCAAAAAACCCAGAGCTGACATGAAATGTCATCCTATCTGGTCCAATTCACCCAAAGGACAAACATTTATCTTTTGTTCAGAGAGAAAAATAAAGGCAAGTTTGAACTTTTTTCCTGACACTGGTGCCCTGGAACTGACCACATATCAAGTGACTGCATAGCTGCCTCTCTACTAGAAACAAGGATTGGGGATGGTGCCAAGGACTGAGCCTGGAGCAGGGGCCTCACTATTCTGGGGTGATTTTCACTTTTTCCTGGCCACATGGCTTTGGGCAATTGTTGTCTTAACCACAGGACCCTCTAGCTCCTCTATTTGTAAACTGCCACTCCCCCCAAGGAAGGTGCGGTAGAATGTCTACCTGTCTACTTTAGGGGGCTGCTGGGAAATTCCAAATACGATGGGTTTTAAACACTTGGCTAGTTGAACAGTTTCACACAAATAAAAGTGGAAATTCTGAATACAGGGTAAGGAGAAGTCAGAGTGTATACAAAAGTTATTCTAATTTTATAAAAGTAACACTGATTAATGAAACTATGAACTTCTAAAGAAAGAATAAAGAAACAATTGACAATGTCCTAAAGCCAAGGGCAGCCTCACCTCCCCCTNTGAAACTATGAACTTCTAAAGAAAGAATAAAGAAACAATTGACAATGTCCCAAAGCCAAGGGCAGCCTCACCTCCCCCTGAGGAGCCACACAGAAGAAGTCAGTTTCTGCCGAATCAGCCAGGACGCCACCCGAAAGCGATCATCAAAACAATGCAAGCAATGCTGTGCTTCAGATCTGATCCAGATTCCAAATAACCGTACACAAGAAATGCCTTTTAATGGAGTGAAATATAGAGGGTCTTAAAGATGAAGTCTAGACATCAGGAGACACTGAGTGCTGAGCCCTCAGCTAGATGGCCGAGGAATCATCAGAGCCAGAAGGCCGGGAATGCGGTAATTCTTCAGAGGCACTGCGGTTGCTGAAGTGCAGACAGCTGGAGTGTATGCGCTCTCTAGTCTAATACAGAAGCAGTCCCACAATAGGATAAACACTTACTCCTTGAACAATTTCCCCTAACCCTGGAGAGAGGATATTGCGTAGACTGGCTAGTACAACCTAAGTGGTTTTCATTTTATATCTGGTTTCCTCTGGACCTTTTAGGAGTCTGTATCTGCAGCTACGGGAGTGCAGTCCTGTGCTGCATCCTCTAGGACTGTACGAAATATTTTGGCAGATGAAGTCCATAGCTGTAGTCTGTATTGATGTGGAAATCATGGGCTATAATGGAAAACCAGACTGTCTTTGTTGATATTGTGAAGATTGCACACGATCGCATCGTAAGAAACTGATCAAATCAACTAGTACTTCATCTCCAAATCGAAACTCTGGTTTCTTTGATAGCACTGGAAATGAATCCATTGATAGTATTTTTTCTTTCCTTGTGGCAGTGTATTTTGCTCCATTAAGATTGAGGCAATTTGGGTCCATCAAATGTGAATTAAGAACCTCTTGGGTGTCAGCCCCTCTGCTGGGGCCCAGGAACGTGGGGGCTATGACAGACTTGGGCCTCAAGGCCTGGAGCTCTCAGTCTCCAGTTTTCTGAATTTCAGTTTCGGAGTAAAAATGTTGCATGTTTCCTGGTTCCCTTTCGTTGGCCAACAAGGTTCATTTCATCAAGGACTTTGTGGTTCAGGGAGTGGTGACAGAGAGAGAGGGAGCCAAAGAGGGACGGAAGTTTTCGAGGGTTGTATTTATCTACTATTACTCTGAATTGAGAACTTATGAAAAAAGTTAGTGGCGGTTGCTTTGTTTTTAATTCACAAAGGGAGATGTGGTCATTATAAGAACATTTGTAAAATACAGTGAAGTTGTATAATACAATGAAGAAGATAAAAATTACTTTTAATCCTAATACCAGGGGATAATCACAGTAACCTTTGATAAACTTCTTTCTAGGCCAAATTATATTGTGCTTTTTTAGAACCATATGCTGTTTTTCCACTTTAATTATCTTGAACTTTGTTCCAGAACATTAAGTATTTTCGACAATATACTTTTCAACGGCTGTAATGGTATTTCTTCTTATGGAGGAAATGTATTTAACCAATCCCCTACTATTTATTTAACTAGTCCGCTACTATTGCACAGTTGTTATTCCGGTTTCCTCATTATAAACCATGATGGTATGAATATCCTTAAAAACTTCCATTTATTCATAAGAATTTTCTTCATATAAAGTTCAAGAAATAAGATTGTTGGATCAAAGGTTATGCACATTTAAAAGGCATTTGATACACACTACCAAATATTTAAGTGTATTTTAATACTTGTTTTGTGGAACTGATTTATTCTTTTATTAAAGAAAGTTCCTAACTTATATTTATTGTCTACAATAATTTTGAAACAATTGATTATTTGTTGAATTTTGAGAAGAAAATGAGCACCATAGTACTAAAAGCAAATAATACCAAAATGCAACTGTGTTAAAGAAAATTTTTTAAAAATGAAAATATTATTTGCTAATGCTATTTTACATTCTTTATGCAAGAAATAGACTTTGACATTTTTACCTGGCATTTTTATTAAGGCAAGTAAATATATTTTAAATACAGGGGCATGGAGTCTATGCCTGTGTTGAGTACACATCAGTTGAATATTTTACTGTTCCTTTCTCTGTACAACATTGGGGAGTGTTTTAGAAGTTAAGGTTTTGTTGTTTGTGTGTGTGTGTGTGTGTGTGTGTGTGTTTATAATCACACGTATGTGGTTTATTTCTGAAAGGTTTTTAAAAAAAATATTTGTTCAATAAATAGCACTTCACTTTGAAATACTTTTCAGTTATTAAGAAAAATACTCCCATTTGGTATTTTCCCCACGGAAGTTGCACAATTGAGGCTGCTCTCCTGTGCTCTGAACTTGGATGCGTGGCACTCCGTAGGCCCGCTGGTCCATGGCCTTTTGCTTTCCTGAGGCAAACATTCTTAATATTATTCCCAAGTAATTTCGCAATTAAGGCTCTAGAGGGCCAAAGAAAAATTGGTAACAATGCAACTGAGGGGATTTAGAAACAAATCTGTTGAACAGCGAGGGAAGGTTTTCTTTTGGTTCTTTATTTGTTTTTCCTATTTTTAAAAGGAAACAAACAATCCTTGTTCTGACATTGCTTTTCTGCCTTTTTTTTTAGTGATCTGTAGAGGGGGCTTTCTGTGTGGCAGCGGACTCTGCATCCCCAGGAAACTGCAGTGTAACGGCTACAACGACTGCGACGACTGGAGCGATGAGGCTCACTGCAGTATGTGACACGCTGTTTGGGGTCGTCTGGGTGGACAGGGCTTCTATTCAGGGGCCTAGAAACCAAACCATTCCATTGTCCAATCCTGACAACTGTTGGCATTTGCATAGACGACTTTGAGTTTGCTTTCCTAAAGTGAGCAAGCGTGTTTCTCTGCCCCCATGCGACAGCAGTGTGTTTGCACACCTCTCAAAGGCGTGATTTCATTAGGAACTCAACAGCTAGGTGCCGAACTGGCACTGGAATAGGTCAGGGAATGAAGTATTTTTGCATAAAGGGTCTTAAAATTAGGAGAAGGCTTTTCGTTTATTTTGTTTGGGTGAGGATTTTTGTTTTTGTTTTTAAAGCTTTCTGAGTATAAAGGTCAACTTTTTAAAAAGGACATTTTAATAGGAAAAATTTTCACCCTCATGATTCTAAACATTCATGACACAGCAGACGCCGGCCTCTTGTTTGTTTATGTTTCCTCTGAACCTGAAGATAGTCGGTGGCATTAACTGTTTTATATCCATGGATTGGTGGGTTCAGTTTCCTTACCATTGATTTGATTAGTTGTTTTCACTGAATTGGTCTGTGGTTTGTCCAATAGTGTATTCGTCTGCTTGGGCTGTCACACAAAGTACCTTAGACTTTATGACTCACAGCAGGAATTTGTTTCTCACTGTTCTGGAGGCTGGAAAGTCCAAGATCAAGGTCCATCAGGGTTCAGTGTCTGGTGAGAGTTCTCTTTGTGGCCAGTAGGCAGCTGCTATCACCCTGTGGCTCATGTGACCTCTTTAAAGGGAGAGAGGGGGAGAGGGGGAGCTACAGGGGAAGAGGGGAAGGGAGATGGAG